CTCCCGGGTGCTGGGATTAAAGGCGTGTGCCACTGCTGCCTGGCTTAGGGCTGAATATTTCAATATCTGTCACTCTCTGCATGTTGTCTGGCAGTGAGTCCCTGTACTTGTTCTCATCTGCTACAGGAGGAAGTTTATCTGATGATGGCTGAGCAAGGCACTTATCTATGAGTACAGCAGAATACCATTAAAATAATTTTATTGCTATGTTCCTTTATCAGAACAGTATTATTTGGTTTTACTCTAGGTCTCTGGTGTATTTAGTTCCAGGTTCTTGGTCACCCAAGCAACATCAGGTATGGGTTCCATCCTGTGGAATGGGCCTTAAGTCAAATTAGATATTGGTAGGTTGCTCCCACAAGCCATGTGCCCCCATTGGACTAGTATATCTTACAGGTAGGACATCATGTAGATCCAAGGGCTAGAGATTGTGTTGGTGTTTATGTTTCTCCTTTGATAGCCTGCAGAGCACTTTGTAGTACCAAGAATACTAGCCCGTGTGGGGGAAGGCTCTAGGTAGGAACTGGCTCTGCTTGTTTGTGTTCAATGAATTGTGTAGGTGTGGATGTGGTCTTCAGTTATAGGGCCTTGCTCTCACTTTGTGGAGAGCAGCTTATGTGCAGCAGTAGATGGTCAACAGAAAACAAACTCACCGGCATCTTTGGAGGTTCCTTGTCACATAATGTCATGTTAGGCTTTCCTTTCTCTCTCTATTTCTCTCTCTCTATTTCTCTCTCTCTCTCTCCACATACACACAGAAACACACACACACACACACACACACACACACACACACACACATCCATTGCATATATATTATGGCTTCCAGTTTTGTGCTTTTATGGGATTCCTGTATATGCTAACGAGTGGGTCTTTGTGTTTATATCTGTTTCTTGCACCTATTTGGGGTTGTTTTTCTTCTATTTATTTGTTTTGTACCATTCTGTTTATTTTTATTATATTATATTAATTATGTTATGTTATGTTATATTATATTATATTCCTTTAGAAACCTGTTTGTTTTCTAATGATAGACAGAAAGCAGGTGGATCTGGAGAGAAGAAGGAAGTGGGGAGGAACTGAAGGAGTAGAGGGAGGGGAATCATAATCAGAATATATTATAAGAGAAAAAATATTTTCACTACTACTGCTGCTACTACTACTACTACTACTACTACTACTGCTAAAAGTAAGCCAGTATGAAGCATTCCTCCATTGTCTTTGCTTCACTTTCTGCCCCAAGGCTCCTGCTTTGAGTTCTTGTCTTGACTTCCTCAGTGATGGGTTGGAGTTGTAAGATGAAGTAAGGTCTTTCTTTCCTCATTCAATGTTGGTCAGGGTTTGATCACAGTAATAGAGAAGCAAACTAATACAAAGGTTTAGAAGACTGTAAAATAAATGAATTACTGTCAAATTTAGTTTGCATTTATTATGTTTTTTTCATTATAATCTTAGCAATTCAAGTGAACACAAAGCTGCTTATTATGGTATCTTATTTTTTGTTTATGGTGTGCATATAAGTGATACATATTACCTTTTCATTTGTACAGTGGTACAAATGAAAGTACTTTTAGTATCTTGGAATTCTGAGTGCAATTTGCTGGGAACTCCATTATTTCTTATTTTTTTTCAAATATAGTCTTAATATGTATCCCAGCTTGGCCTTGAATGAATGATCCTCCTTTGTCAGTCTCCCAAGTCCTAGGATTACACACATGGGCTGCTCTACTCAGCTTTGTTTCTGGTTTTATATGAATTACTAGTGTTTCTAAAGTATTTCTTTAGGTTTTGTAAAATAAGTCTATGTTCATTCTTTCATGGTAGTTCATTAGCTAGTAAATAGTTGAACAAAGATTCAAAACCTAGATTTCTCACCTGAATCTATTACATCACCATACAAGGAAAGTAAGGAATTATTTTAGATGACTTGAATTAGGTGTTCCTGCCGGGCGGTGGTGGCGCACGCCTTTAATCCCAGCACTCGGAGGCAGAGCCAGGCGGATCTCTGTGAGTTCGAGGCCAGCCTGGTCTACAGAGCGAGTTCCAGGAAAGGCGCAAAGCTACACAGAGAAACCCTGTCTTGAAAAACAAACAAACAAACAAACAAACAAACAAACAAACAAACAAACAAACAATTAGGTGTTCCTATTCTAATGTAAACTTTTATCTGATCATAATTGAATTTCTTGTAGAAACTAAATTTTCTGTGTACCAAAAAGACCGTGTGCCTTCTGTGTCTGTTACAGACTGATGTCTTCATTGCTCAGCTTCCCCCTCAGTGCCTAGATGAATGTTCATACATGCTCACACATACACACCCCAAACATGCACATTTTCTCATTATAGCTTTGGGATTAGATGCTGCCTAGCATTAGTTTGAGCCATCCTTTACTAAATGCCATGTTACTTTTGAATTGTAGTCTCTCTAAGTCTTTAGTTCTTCATACACTGCCAGTAAGTTTGACTCAGTGAACGAGATCTCAGCTGCTAGGCTGCTGTTTTGAACTCAGTTTCCAGAGCCTGACTTACTGAGTATCGATTCTTTGTGGCCAGGCTCAGTTCAGACTAGCCCATGTTCTAAGAGCGTTAACTCAGGTTTATCTGTTCTGGACCGTATGTTGTATGTCCATCTGTGTGTTCAGAACAGGAGGGAAGATTAACCGTACCCAGTTTATAGTTAACACCTGCTTAAGACCAAACAAATGTGGAAAAACAGACCATTCAGTATCTTTCTGTACATTTTATATGTGCTCACACCATATTTTGGGATAACAGCAAGTAAATGTTCTACTGTTCTGTGTTTTGAAATGTTGATTATATAAAGATCACACACGGCAAGTTGTTTATAGCTTTATTCTATATTCCACTATCTATAGTGGATTTTCTGTTGGAATCACAGAAAGGAAAAAGATATAATAATTGCTTTGTGTAGTTCACAGAATGAAAGTGCAAAATGAGGTGTTTTGAATCTAGTTTGTACTAGGAAACCACATTTAAACATTTCGAGGAAACCACATTTAAACAGCGGTGGTTATCATCAAGTATACAACTTTTCAGCTGTGTCCCAGTTCACATCAGTGAAAACCTTCCACTACTCTATTCCCTATAACCTAACCTCCATCAGATAATGCCAAATAAACTGTGTGGAGTACACAAATTAATATATATCAAATGTACCAAATGCCTTGCTGCCTGTAGGACATTTTCTTAATTAGTGATTGATGGGAGAGTGTGTCTTAGTTACTGTTCTTTTGCTGTGAAGAGACACTATGACCAAGGCAACACTTAAAGAATTTAATTGGAGCCGGGCGTGGTGGCGCACGCCTTTAATCCCAGCACTCGGGAGGCAGAGCCAGGCGGATCTTTGTGAGTTCGAGGCCAGCCTGGGCTACCAAGTGAGCTCCAGGAAAGGCGCAAAGCTAC